AATCTGGACAGGACGGCCTCTCAGGCCCTTTTTTTATTGTCATTATAGTATTACGGGGAACCCCGTAGCAGCCACATCCGTGCTCAAGCCTCCAACGAGGGAACATGCGGGAGCTGCCCCCACCAGCAGGTGGGCGATACCTGCTACAGCAGGTGGGCGATACCGGCCAGGGGTCAGCCGGTAGCATCAGGACAAATATCAGGAGCTGCCCCCACCAGCAGGTGCTACAGCAGGTGGGCGATACCGGCCAGGGGCGATACCAGCAGGTGGGCGATACTGTGCCTCCGAATCCCTCACAAACAACCCGGTGAAACGAAAACAGTTCTGGGGCCATTAATACCCAGTTTAAGGCTCCTGGGAACCTGGCCCAGTGTCCCCTGACGTCTGAACTCTCAAATGAAAAAAGTAAGGTGAGGCATATCCCCAGAACACGCCCTGCACTCTGAGACACTGCAGTCGCCCCTTCCAGTCAAGCTGGAGCAGCTTGTTGTCTCTTCCCCATGTCTCATACAACCATTGCCCGGCAGAGGTCGTGCTATGTGTTCTTTGTCTTCGTCTGATCCAGTCACTTGTTATGRCGAGTCGAATCTGTTGAGTGATCAATGTCTTTATTGCAGCATCTGACTTATACTCCCTTCTAAATAACTGGTCGTTGAGGTCATCCCAAATTATTTTTATGATAACACCTCTGAGGCTCCGAGTGTTTGAGCCACATAGGGCCACTCTCTCTTCCGGTTTCTCTGAATGATGTTAGCTGTATACATCCTGAAAGAGGAATGGTCCCTTAGTCGAGAGGTAGATGTCGTAGCTTGCTTTTTTATCAGATCCTACACTAACAAAAGACCAAAATCAGTTTTTTGGAGAAACGTTTTGTTTGCGCGGCATAGGCTTTTTCCTACTGAGAGACTGCATCCACTGACTAGGGATTCGGTATTAAATCAAATTCTTTTTGAGAATCCTCTTATAGTAGATGTAGCTAGTCAGGAATTCTCTGCTCATGACTCCCCTGGCTGCTTTGGCAAAGCTTGGGTGGAGAGAGGGGTGGTTAGAACTAGGGACATATGGGATGCAGAAACAAAGTCATGGCTTACGGAACAGGAATTGAKGGGAAAACTGGGAAGATTGAGAATGGTAGGGGAAAGGCTCAAGGCCTTGATTGACGCAATACCTTGGTCATGGAAGAACTGTCTGCTGAGTGAAAGCATCCCAGAAGACGGACTGTGGCGTATATCGAGCCAAGACCCAGCAGGAATGATAATATTATACCAAATTACAGATGATCTAGGTACAGATGGTTASGCAGCAAGGGAATGGATAAGGCCGGATACCTTTAGTTTCTCCAGAGAACTGACACCCAGATCAGTAATTAGATTGGAATCCCTGGATGATCTGGATGAAGTGGCAGTTGCACA